TTGTTACCTCTGGATAAACAGCCCAAGTGGTTCTTCCTGTTATTCCTGGCTAGGAGTGATTTGTGCTAATCTAGTGACAACATTGCAGAACAAATGTGTCAAAAAGCCTGTCGATTAAATTCTAGTTGAGTCTATTTGGGTGAAGTCGATCATGCTGGTCTTGGTCTTGTGCCTTTTTAAAAAAAATTTATTTAAAGTTGTCTTGACAACAGATGTGTTTTGTAAACCGTCCAAAGAAGGAAAGACATTTTGAAGGATCCAAATAAAGAGTGACTTTATGTCCTCTGTATGCGCCTCGGGAATAGATTAGAGAGTCTGGTAAAACTTTGACGCGGGACCAGGAAAGATCAAACACAGACTTGGTTAATGACATTTTCATGCTTGTGTTCTGGATAAATGTCTGCTCTTTTTGACGTCACGAGGGTATCGTTTTTAGAAACGGCGTGGGATTCCTCCTCAAGAACAACAAACTGGTGAACCCAGGCAGCCCCAGCCCTCTGGGACGGGTTGGAACTTGACTATAAATAAAGAAAAAAAAGGCATGTGTGTTTTTCCTGCAGTCTCGAGATTGTTTTAAAACCACCCTTTAAGCTTTTAGTTAGTCATTACTTTGTGGTGGACATAAAGGAATGACATTTATATGGCATCTGTGGATCATATCTACATATCTTCCTTTGGAAACAGTCGTCTGTTCTGTGGTCGCCTTCAGTAAAATCAACACGGCTCATCTCTCCTCCCTCCATCTTCACCTGCCTCCCACTTCTGTTCTTTCTCTTTCCGCCCTCCTCTCCTCCAGCTTTATCCCCGGCAATCTTGTCTCTATTCTTGGCCCGCTTCTCAGTAGGGAGGGAGACATGACGTGCTCTGACAGCTTCCACGGACAGTTATCTCATTTAAGCTCTATCCTTTAATAGCCACACTCAGAGGCTGTAGCTCAGCTCTAAGGAGCAACCATGACAATGCAAGCAGGCAAGCAGGGCTAAAGGGGGCCAATGCCATTAAGCCCTGCACTGCATCAATGACGTTCGTTATAACAATCCCTCGTTGCACTGGAAACTTTGCCTGGAGTGGCCGAATGCCGTCATTTATCATATTGGACTGTTTTGAGGTTGGTGCCTCTTGGGTAACGGGACAAATACTTGGTCTTTTTCAGCTCCGCTGCTTCTGCTCCATTCACAGTTCAGTTTTGAACCTGTTGACCTTCCCGTATCTGAAACTGCGTCAGTGGCAGTGCAGTCTAAACCTGTTTATTTTACAGCCTGGCGTGGCCTTATCGATAGCATTAACACCAGTGTGTTGACTTTCATATTTACAAGGTGCACCAACTGCCCTCCGTGCTTCCTGTCAGGTCACAGAATATGAGGCTGGAAAGCGATGGGTGTTGCTTTGTGTGGGAGGGGATGTTTATAGTGGGGTAAAGATGGCAGTTTGATTTTCGGTGGCTGCAGATAAACAAAATCCAGATCAGCTTGAACTGTGGAAGCACAGATACACAGATATAGAATAATTAAACATAATCCACTGGTGTCTGTTTTTTCCTGTAGGCATAACATGGGGTAAGGTGGTGTCCATGTTTGCGGTAGCTGGAGCCCTGGCAGTGGACTGTGTCAGACAAGGCCATCCGGCTACAGTGCACATCTTAGTGGACAGTCTGGGACAGTTTGTCCGCAAATTCCTGGTTCCCTGGCTGAAGCGACGGGGAGGATGGGTAAGTTTCTGCCTCAGCAACATTTTGGGCAAACATGAAATGCATAAAAAGTTGACATTTGAGATACAACAGCGATTTGCATTTGCTAGTTTTGTGTGTGTGTGCAGGGGTGGGGTGGGGATTTGAATTTGATGCACTGCTTTGTGCATGACAAACATGCTGATTGTGCATGAAGCTCGGTCAGCTTTCAGTCGTCTTTCAGCAGTCTGAGATACGGGGATGTTATTTGCTTACTCTGGCTTCCTGCTGGATGATTTGATGAAAAGTTTCTGCTGTAAAGTGGATCATTCTCATGCTTGATTTAAATAATATTCAAACTCTGTTTTATTTTACTTTAGTGTATGTGTGTCTGTGCATCTTCCGAGTCAGACAGTATTTTTACTCTTAGTGGACTGACAAAAGAGACAGCAGATTGCAATAAGAAATGCCACTAGTAAAAAGGCATTATGACATTTAACTCATTTGATTTCCTCAGTAACATCAATTTTACAACTTCTTTCTTTCAGACTCACAAATTCAGGTAGAAAACAAAAACTGTAATACTAATGACATCTATAGACTAGAATTAAAATACTGAGATCCTCACATACTGGGGAAAATAAAATATGAAATTTCATTTAAACAGTTATTTTATTTGTAACAATACAATACAACTTCACAACAAGGTTAAAACATAAAAGATAAAAGGCTATAACAGAGTACAAAAACCCAAAAAGGTACAGACAAAATAAGAAAAGAAACATTAGAGTTTAGTTTAGATAAAATTACAGAGTATTCATAAATATAAGGTGGGAGTTTTTATACAGTGGAACATTAGTAGAAGATAAATAACATAAGGGTAAAATAATATAGGGAATGTGCACTAACTGAAAACGCTCGGTCAAACAGTTTGTAACTGAGATTTAAATGAATAGATGGAATCAGAGGCGCGGATAGCAGCAGGAAGATTGTTCCAGAGGCTCGGGGCTGCCAGGGCAAAAGCACGGTCACCTCTGGTCTTTAGCTGGGATCTAGGCTGCACTAAGAGTAATTGTCCTGATGATCTTAAAGCTCCCCTAGGGTTATGTGGACTAAGGAGTTCAATGAGGTAGCACGGCGCAGCATTGTTTATGATTTTAAAGGTAATTCCAATAACTGCAATTTAATCACACATTAAGTGTGATTTTGAAGTGCTAAAAACTCTGTTCTTCTCTAAAATGCATCTAGTCTGCTCTTTTCCAGCTCCTATGTCTATTCGTGGACTGTACCAGGGTAGTTTTGCATGATTCACAGTTCAAAAATAATCCTTACTGACCTTAGATCAGTCCTCGTAGCAGCTCTTCAGTCCGCCGGCTATCTAATTCTCTTCCTTTCTTATGATTGGCTGTTCCCAATTGTGACTAGCCAGAGCTGATGAAAAAGTCTGCTATCAGTGACATCATACAGATTCAAGAGTAGGAAAAAAAACCCTCATCTGAAATGGAGTGTGCAAAGCATCTGATGCTTTTTGGCTCAAAGGAATTACTTGCACAAACACCTCCTGTTCAATATGAGTGTCCACCATTGCTGCAGTGCATTCTGAAAGTGTATGTGTAAAATTTTTTATATATCAGAAAATAAATGGAAGCACAAAGTTTCCCTTTTAATATTTATACTTCAAGAAATTTAACAAGTTTTTTTGTTTGTTTTTAAATATCCCTTTTATCTCATTTTGTTAAGGTGGAGATCACAAAATGTGTGGTGAAAAAGGATTTTTGCCCTGAAGAAAACTGGCTGTCCTCTGCCTTTGAGTCCCTCAAGTGCTTCCTCACGACGATGTATGTCTACATCATGAAGGAGCTGTGAACAAACAGCGTGTGGGAGGTGGGACGGTGGGGGTGTCATGTGTGGGATTAAAATCTCAGACTTGTCAATAAAAAGCTGGAGTGGAGAGGGTCGCTGTGATTGATGGGGATTGAGCCTGCCGGTAGATTTCAGTTGCTGTGTATGGCCATCAGCAAATGTTTGACCAACAAATGTTTGTGTTCTCTTAGTGTCGGCCGAGCCCGTGAAGTGGTTACCCTTCATCCAAAGAGTAGTCACCGTGACATTTAAGGGCATATCACTCCGCCTCTATGTATTATCTTACTGCTTTAACCGGTGTAGTAAGCAAGGCTTCTCCAGTGTTGTAACGTGAGGCTGTTCATACTCCAGAGACAAACACTCAGACGTTTTAATGTGGTGTTTCTCAGAATATTCACACTTAAAGAGGCGAAAACTGTGTTTGTGACGAAACTGACGCTCAGCTGGCTGGGTCCTGTTGTGAGGTTTGAGTCTGGAAAAAGTGAGTTCACGCCTCAAGAGTAATGTCAGGTGGATTCAACTGTTTACACTTCATGGAGTAACTCTATTGTACTTCACCAAAGCACAAAGAGTCTATTTACAAATATGATCCATTTAAAAATAACGAAGAGAAACGTTGGATCTCATTGCGCTCCTTTTTGGCCAAAGAACTCAAGGAATGGTAATATATATATATATACTGAATGTGCATATTTTTGTGGACACTGATTTCCTTTTAGATTTGTAAATAGTCTATTTATGATTTTATTTTTTTATTTAATGACTTGTATTTCAAACCACTGCAGTATGAGGACGCCACTACAGCAGCTGTTTAGGATGATTGTGTGTGATGGGTGTCACTTTAAGTGTGAACTTATAAATGTGTCTAAAAGTTTTTATGAAACCTATAATAAACTTCAACCTTCACAGACGGGACTTTTGTGATGCTTTTGTTATAACAGGCGCATCCTTACCCTTGCTGTGAGGAATTAGAGGTGGTAAAGAACAGCCCCGTAGGGTGACGAGGTGAGGGTGTTTATTGCTGCCTGGGTCATTGAGGAAGAGTTGGATTTGGTTAAAAAGAAGCGGCTTAGATAATTTTGAAAACCTGAGGCAGACAACTGGTGGAAAAAGTGTTAACAGGACCCCTTTGTTGCAGGGAATTAGTCGCTTCCTTTACCCAATTTGTCCCTCTTCTTACAAAGGCAAGAAAACTGAGCGAAAAATAGAATTTTACACGAGGATTTATAATATCATGCAACTAAAGACATCAGAGCTTTAACTGTTCCTCAAGGTGCTCCACAATCTTAGCTCTGTGTTTACATTATATGGCGCCTTCTATTTAAAAACCATGGCTGTAACAGTCACCGTGTGTCAGCCTGCAGTGTCTTCTCGTGTTTCCAGCGCCGATGTTGTGTGTTGCAGTGCATTAACACACGCTAATCAGATTTGTATCATCCATCAGGACAGAAACGCATTAATAGACTCAAACAAGCAAAGACAAAATGAGTAATTTAATTTATCCAGCACACGAACAGTGAAGCTGCCCCCTCGCAGACATGGATGTCTCTGAGCACATATGTGAAAACAGTGGCCTTAAATAGTCTTTTTTTTTTCTACATAGTGCCACTCAGTAAAAGAAAAAACCCCTGAAGCCCACATTCAAAGGACAGTGCAATGTCTCCAGCTGCTTTAGCTTACAATTTTATGATAGTGCAGTGACAGTCACATATAGTACTTCTATTATCTTCACATTGAAATAGCTTTACAGATTAAATATACACCATGAACATCCTGATATTGTCTGTGATGTTTAACTAGTGGTTAAGATTAAGTTTGATTATTTCAGTTCAACAGGTTATACCACAGCCTTTTTACCACATAACAGTATAGAGGTATATCTCTGTAGATTTGTTTATGTTTCCCTTACACAACTGGAATTATTGATCGAGTGTTTCCAGATATATATCTGGAAACTTATTTCAGTGCATGAGAAGCCCTCCTGCTTGCTCAAGACGATCGACGGTAGGTGATGCGCAAGTGCTGCATCAGGGGCTGGTTGTCTGTTGCCATAGAAACTGTCTGCTCCAGCTTCCCGTCAGACCGGAGCTGAAACACTCTGCAAATCTAAAGAGGGGAAAGCGAGCAGGAGTCATTTTATTGATCACAAGAGGTTTGATGGCCAAGTGTCATATTTAATCCTCTTATTTCTGCAGCTCAGTGAGTGCGTCTTGCAGACTCTGGATTAGCTTTACCTGCTTTACGTAAGGCTCTTTTGCAAAAGAGGTTCGGGCTAGTTGCAGGGACTGCAGGCTCAGCTGCTGCCCTGTCAGCTCTCCCTCCTCGATTTCCACCAGACCTGCAGCAGACGACACAAGGGGTATCGTGTGAGTATTGAAAGAAGGGTAAATCACTGGAAAAAAATAATTAATTTGCCACAAATGTGATCTAATAAAAGCTTTTTATCACTGCAGTAAGCTTTAAAAAAATACTGTTTGAAATAGTTTTCTTTCCTGTGGTTATTGAATGTCATAGCAGGAAAACACAGATGAGTAAAACACATTTACTCGGCCCTGTAAGCCTGAATACCAGGAAAAGCCAGCCAAACACAATCCAGACATTATTGTGTTGTTTTTTGCACTGAGAGACACTTTTGGTCCCCTAAAGAGGATTTATCCAGAGCAAAAAAAGAAAATTATCAGCACTGTAATAACATTTTTAAACATTTTGTCAGTTCACCTTCATTTAAAAATACTGGTGGCCACCAGTGCTGAGACCAGTGTTACCCCTCAGCCTCCTGGTGGACACATCAATGGTATCAGTTTCAAAATCCTGTGACGACAACACCCCATCAGGCTGTAGGGCCTACAGGCTTGTGGGGTGGTTACTGGTGATGACGAGTAGGGCTGGGCCATATCATACCGTTCGCGGTAATACCGGTATAATGTCGGGCAACGATAAGAAAATGAAATATGGCGAAACACGCATGCGCAGTGCCTTTGTTTTCATACGCACACGGCGGAAAAAGCATAGCAGCGACGGAGAATGAGGGCGAAAGCAGATCGTTGAATGAAACAGATGAACCTGGACTGGTTTGTAAAAATGCTGCAGCTTCAGTGGTGTGGAACTGGTTTAGCTTTTGTCTGTCAGATACACAACAAAGCACTATTTTTGGTAGCGCATGCTAGCGGGCCGTCGTTATTACCGTGTTGTTTGGAAAATACGGCGCACTTAAAATCAATCCTTTGATTTTTCTGAAAGTCAACAGAGCCCCTTATAATCCCGTGTGCCTTGTGTATGAACTCTGGTTGTGTTTACTGACCTCGGAACGATTTTATGTACACGGCGCTCGAAAATCTGTCAAATGTTTTAGTTCGACTTTGCTAAGCTACGAAGCCGCACCGCTTGATGGAGCATTAGGGAGCATTACGGCTATCGTAGGCGGAGCCTCGCGGAGTGATACGTACTGTGCTTCAACATAATGTTACTGTATTGTGTGTGTATAACCTCTTTTTAAGTTTTGTGGATGTTATACATGGTTGTGCTGAGGATATGTCGGCCAGTTTCCACTGGAAACGCCTTTTGGTTAAACTGTCAGCGAGGAATTTGCATTTGCACTGTTAATTTTTATATAACTTTAATGCACATAAAAAGCAGCTGCTTGTTTAAGTGAAAATACATTGATGGTTTGTTTTTTGCACTAATAAAGTTGTGGAGTTGTAAAGTATTTTGTCTCGTGTCAATTATATCGTCAGTTATATTGTTATCGCAAATTTTCAAATGTATATCGTGATAAATATTTTCGGTCATATCGCCCTGCTCTAATGACGAGCGAGGGTGATGCACATTTACAAAAGGTACATCGGGACTCATCACATCACATGACCTTTACAACTGAACCAGAGTCCAATCTGATGAAAAAAAAAAAAAGGTGAATACAATGACGTGAATTTCACCTGAGTTCTGTGCAATGATGAAGGCCACTCTGTTAGTCCCCGGCTGCATTCGAACAAACCCGCACTCTCTGTGCAGGGGCTTCTTAGACTCGGCATGAAATGCATTGAACCTGTAAAACACGACATCAGTGGGAGATCGTGGTGACGAGCTCTCGTTATCGGCAGATTTTATTAATTTTATTCCAGTTGAATTTAAATGAAATACACAAACTTAAAACTTACACAAAAGACATTTTCCAGCGTGTTAAACTTAAGCATAATTTATGAGTCTGTTCTCTTGAAACACTGAACTCAAAGTCACACAGTTCACTCGTAAGATATTCTGACGTGCAGAACAGCCAGTGACCTTGCAGTTATATTGACTAAATGTTCCAATCTATAAATATCTGTTATTACTTGATTTGCCACTTCTTCATATAACCTACATGAAGTTGATGACTGGTTGTCCTACATGACTGAAATGCAGCGTCTCTGTGTAACGGAAAGGTTTTATGGTGGGGAAGGAGCCCTCTCCTGGTTCATCACACTCCCAGGTGCCCAGAAGCCATTCCAGAGGGAGGAGGGTGGGGTTCAGCTCCACTGATGGTTAAAAAGATAAAGCACAAGACACAAACAAACAAATTACGCAGCATTACTATAAAAAAAGAAAAGAAAAAAGAAGCTTCATCATGTAATCATGTAACAGAATCATTTTCTGAAGGATTCAAACTGGATTTGTTTGATTTGCTCCTTGGGCAGATAGACTTAAAATCTGAACCATCTTCAGTTAAAAGAAAAATGTCCTAATTGTCATGGCATGATAATGTTTAATACCAAATATATTTAACAGAAGCTCTCTTAAATCAAAAAGATTAGGATTTTTAAACTCTTTAAACTTCCACTAGAATTTTTTCTTATTACTTAAAAAAACAGTCAGAAAGTCAAGCACAGAACACGTTTTTGTTTATCAGATGGGCAGAGATAAAAGCAAACTGCACACACTTTGTTAAGTAAAATAACCCACGCTCTTTGTTTAACTACGTGCAGACTCAAAGACCATTTAGAGGCAGGGAAAAAACCTCCGACAGGAACGTTCAAACTTGCATACATCTATTTTTAGGGAACCAGAAGAAGGAAAACACAACACTACATGCCAAACAGTAGCTTCCATTCAAAATGGCTTTAAAAGAAGGAGCTTTTTGGCCAGTTTCAACAAATGTGGAGATTTTGTAGCCAAAAAAAGAAGTCTGAGGCTAAATCCCAGGAAAATATGTCACATTTAGAGAAATGTGAGAGCCAGATACTTGGAGCCATTCACGTGTCACACAGGGACACTTCAATGTGAAGAAGGTCAATTCCTGAGCCAAAGCATAGAGGAGCTTTCTGCTTTAAGTTCCATTTTTCCTTTGAGTTTGCAGTGCGAGTCTGGTCAGGTTTAAGTACCTAAACTACTCAGTAGGATTTAGTGGAGAAAAAAAGAAAAAGAAAACAGGTCATGGAATTTGATAAAATATGTCCTTTCAACAAGCTAAACGACATCCTACTGGTTTTGTGGACAGAAAGCCTTGAAGGTCATCTTCTTCTAAAAGAGCAGCTGAGGTGTATCATCATAGGGAAAGGGCTGAGCGTGGAATAAAGTCAACTAAGGCTGCACGCTACGAGAGCGAAACAGTAAACACATCAAAAGAAATTCACTATTTTTCCATTAGAGACAAGAAGTGGTGGCTGGGGTAGGCAGTGCCCATTCTGAGAAATGAATGTTAAACCAGTCTCTGAACGAAATCACTTTATTTACCTACACGCCCTCTCTTATTATTCTTGTTTGGTGTCTTAGGTCCTCCCTTAGAGGTGCGAGAAAAATAAGGCAACGCAACAGGCATTTAACGTGTTATTTTAAAGCAACGTCAATTTGAAAACACAGCTAGAGTTAGTGCTCCTCCTAAACAATAGAATTTAATTTATCTTCACACCCATGCTACAGACTCTGTTAAGTGAACTGAAGAACCCGTTTAGCTGCCCTCAGTGTTCCAACTTAAACACCTTTGATTCTTCTCCACTTGTCTCTCTGGTTTCTAAACTTTACCAGTCCCTTATATAGTTTCACAGCTGATCTTATGTTTTACCAGCTCTGTGTTTTTTTTTTTTTTAAGTCACCTGTTCACTTGGTGGATTTCAACGGCACCATTTAAAACGTGCAGAAAATGCAGCACACGTGCCTCATGGGTCCACTGCTGCACCCAGAGTGATATCTTTTGTTTTTCTTGTGATTTGCCTTTGCAATCTGAGACAAATATTTATGTAGTGTCTCCTTCCATATGTGTGTATAGCTGCAATCGTGCATACTGGTTCATAATTGTGGTTTAAGGCAACTTTTTTTTTTTCTTTGAATTTGTTGTAAAGGTGGACACTTTTATAAGACTGACTTTTGTAAGTACCCTTTAAAATTTACATTTAACGGGTATTAGTGTTGATTTTAGTTTAGTGGACACAGTCTGTATGATGTTGTTTTTTAATGACATAGCAAAGTGACTTAAGCCAAATGCTGACTTGACAAAGTTGGTTGTCCATCCAGTTCATCTACTCTGGTCCCAACCCTGTTGTTCACAACCGTTATGAATTTGAACTGCAGGTTTGAGAGAACGAGTTGCAGCAAGAAAGCCATTGCTAAGATGCCAGAATAAAACAAAGGGACTTGCCTGGGCTATGAAACACCGCTATTGGAGTACTGAAGACTGGAAGAAGGTATTATGGACTGATGAATCAAAATTTGGAACCTTTGCTTCATCACACAGGATCTTTGTACAGCTTCGAGTAGGCAAAAGGATGGTTCCACAGTGTGTGGCATCAACTGTCAAACATGGAGGAGGAAGTGTGATGGTCTGGGGCTGTTTTGTTGGATCCAAGGTCAGTGACTTGTACAGAGTAAGAGGCACCCTGAACCCAAACAGCTACCACAGCATTCTGCAGTGCCCTTTGGTATGTGCCTAGTATGTGCCTACAGCAAGATAATGACCGAAAACAAACCCAGTGTCTGGGCTAGTAATCAACAATGTAATCAATAGTAATCAACAATAGGGCCGTAATGATGCACTGAATACAGATCTTGATTCAAATGTGCTGTATTCATTTAGTCTCACATTAGAGCAAAGAACTCCACATGCATTAATCAGCGCATGCTTGATTGTGCACACATGGTCAGCACTCGCATCTAAACTGTAGGGCTGCCACAAACGATTATTTTGATAGTCGACTAGTCACCAATTATTTTTGCGATTAGTCGACTA